TAAAGAAACCTGAAACAAAGGTAAATTTAAAACTAAAATTCCTACAAGGGTTTTCAACTTTGCAATTCTACTTTGCATCTTACACTTCTGGTTCAGAGTCTGATTCCAGCCACTTTGAGCACTTGTCACTGTGTGTACTCTGATATATGTGTTAAGTGCCGTAGAGTTGGTTTCACCTCATCACAACCCTGTGTAGCTTCTGATGAGTGGCTAATAGGTTTGAACCATGGTTAGCAGTCCAGTTCTTATCCTACAGTGCCATGTCAAGACCCATTCTTTCATTTCATTATGAAAACAGCTTTAGCTCATGCAGTTGTAGGTATTGCCCTTGCTTTACAGATAAGGAAGTGAACTGATGGGCCTGAGGCCACACAGCATGATAGTGACAGCTTGAACTAGAACATAGGTCATACATCTCCAAATCTCACATTCTTTCTGCACTACCAGACTGCCTGTCAGTTTTAGACAGATGTAGGGACTTCAGAAATAGTTTGTGGGAAAATGGAATTAAAATGTAACGGAAGTTTTCCACAAACTTGAAATTCCCTCATATGGGAAATCAAAACAACAATAACAAAACCACATCTTTTGCTCTGCTGTACTTGCTAGGGGTAGGCTTTTATTGGAAATAAACTATATATTTAATTTCTAGGCAGTCCTTTCACCAGGGAATACCTTTTATTTTTCAGGTTCTGAAACAGACACAAAAACATTAATACAAATTTACATTTGTATTTCTGCACTGCCAAGGAACTCTGGGGCACATTAAGTGTGCTGTTCTTGTTAGGTGCTTTTGAGTTGGTTTGACTTGTAGTGAACCTGCTGCCCAGTCCTGCACTGTACTCACAATTGTTATGTTTGAGCCCATTGTTGCTGCCACTGTGTCAATCCATCTCCTTGAGGGTCTTTTTTTCTCTGACTTTTTTGTCTGACCATGATGCCCTTCTCCAGAGACTGGTCCTTCCTGATATGTCCAAAGCCATTTTCACTTTGAAAGCACATTCTGGATGTACTTCTTCCAAGACAGATTTGTTTGTTCTTCTGACAGTTCATGGTATTTTCAATATTCTGCATAGTGGTTACAAATCGGGTTAACTTCAAGGTCAACAGTTCGAAACTACCAGCTGTTCCGCAGTAGAAAGATGAGGCTTTCAGCCCCTGTAAAGATTTACAGCCTTGGAAACCCTATACAAGGTTGCTGTAAGTCGAAACCAACGTCACAGCACTTAACAACCACCACCAACACCATAATTCAGATGCATCATTGTTCAGCTTTCACATGTATTTGAGGTGATTGAAAATACCAGGGCTTGGGTCAGGCGTGCCGTAGTCTTCGAAGTGACATTGCAGAGATGATGCTTTCTGCTCCTGCCTGTAAAGATTTGTTTTTAAAGCCTTGGAACCCCTAGACAGGGTCACTGAATTGGAACTGAGTCAATGATATGTAACAACAGTAAGAATCAGTGGAAACTCTTAAACATGTAAAGTACCTATATGAGATATTCTAAGCATGATAACAGTCAGTATTTACTAATATATTTCAGAGAATACTTGTATCTTCATTAAATAGTTTATGAAATAGAAATGAATGTGGTTTTAAGATCACTTGTGATGTAACACATTTTAACCTTTCAATTTATGATAAAGTCATTTTTCACTTGTATTATAATTTTACAAGCCTCTGCTTCATTTTCCCCAATTCTTTAGAGCTTTTATTTCTAAAATCTAATGAATCAGTGGCATTTGCTTTGACTTAGAATAGAAATAACAGGTCATGTAAAGACCAAAAAATGTTTACAGTTAGCTTGCTTGAGATGAATGGCATCAGAATTTTATCCTGTTAAATTTCTCCTAAAGTGATAACATAGTTAAGAATTTTCCTGCTATTGTTCAGTGCTCTCCAGTCAATTCCAACATATAATATAGGGTTTCCAAGGAGTAGCTGGTGAGTTTGAGCCACTGACCTTGCGGTCCAGTGCTTATCATACAGCACCACAACCAGGACTCAATATTAAGGAGTTGCAAAATTTCATTGCCCTGATTTTTTCCAAGTTTATATTTTCATCTATGTGTTAATTTAATCTTCTTTGTTTTTTAACAGATTGCAGAATCCTATTTTGAGGAGGAAGACTGTATCCTTTTCTTAACTACACAGAGGAGTTCATATGACATTTGGAGAACCACCCATTTTTTTTTAACTTGAAATACACTTTTGTTTTTGTTAGGTACTGTCAAATTGGCTCCGACTCATATTGACCCTATGCATAACAGAGCAAAGTATAATTTACATATAATAAAATATATAGATCATAAGCAGTCCTGGTGTGACACTGGGGGTTAATGTGCCAAACTGCAAAGCCTTTTGAACTGCAAGGTTGGCAGTTCAAGCTCACCAGCTACTCCTTGGAAACCCTATACAGGGTCACTATGGATTGGAATTGACTCGAAAGCACACAATAACAACATAGATCATAAGGATTCCATGGGTTTAGATCATTGTATCCACCCATATAACCACCACACAAAAGAAGCTATAGTAAATTTCCTTCATTCCAGAAAATTCCGTAGAACCACACAAATTTGACTTACATAAACAAGCTATAATTTTACCAAAGTCTAAATATTTCTGTTCAAACAAAAAGAAAAGCACATATTGCTGAAAAGATTACAATAAAATACCGATTGTATTTTCTTTTAAATTAAACAGAAGCACAATTCAAATAATATGGTAAAGAATGTCGAGTGTATTACACATAGTGCATCCCTGATTCTCTGACAATAACCATATACCAGCAAAGGGAAGAGTGACTTCTTTCCTAGGACTAAGCAGTCTAAACCATGTCAAGTGATAAAGCATGTTAACTTTTGTACAGGGCAGTTTCCTCCCTTGCATTTCTTTGTGGGGAGGGGATAGCCCAGAACATGAGAGGTCTTCAAAAATTCATGGAAATGCTTATTATGAAAAACTGCATGGATTTAAAAACTTTTTCCAGGAAAATAAGCCTGTACTAAATTGTTAGAGGAGTCCTGGTGTGGCACTGTGGGTTAATGCACTGGACTGCAAAGTTGGTTTCAACCGCAAGGATGGTGGCTCAACCTTACCAGCCGCTCCTCAGAAACCCTATACAGGGCCACTGTGGGTTGGAACTGACTCGACGGCACCTAACAACACCAACAACTTGTTAGAACATGAATGAGCAAGATCTAGTTTGAGGCACTAAATAGAATAGGACATCAGTTTGAAAAGAGCTCTGTTGGCAACATGAGTTCCACTAAAATTCAAGCAAAAACATCAAATTTATGGTGGAACTTGAGCGTAAGAATGATGAAATCACTGATGCGTTAGAAAACGTTTCTGCCTCAAAGTTTATGCGTCAATTTACAAATGTTTTAAGAAAGGATGAGAAGATGTTGAAGATGAAGCCTGAAGTGACAGACCATCCACATGAATTTTCAAGGAAAAAAATTAATCTTGTTTGTGCCCCACTTGAAGAGGACTGATCGTTACTAGTAGTAACAGTAGCCAATACCATAGACATTTGGTTCAAGTTACACAACTATGACTGTTAAAGTCAAACAAACTTTCTGCTTGGTGGGTGCCAAAATTGTGTGCCCAGGACAGCTGCAAACAAGAAGAGCACAACTTTCAGTGGAAATCTTAAACAAGTGAGATCAAGATCCTGAAGCATTTCTTGGAAGAATTATAACAGGAGATGAACCATGGCTTTACCAGTGTGATCCTGAAGACGAAGCACAATCAAAGCCATGGCTACCAAGAAGTGGAAGTGGCAGTAGTCCAGTCAAAGCAGAAGCAGACCAGTCAACAGCACAGGCATTTTGCTTGCTGACTTTGGAGGACCAAAGAATAATATGTACTTATTATGAGAGTGCTTTGAGAAAGTAAAAATTTTAGCAGAAAAGATTCCAGGGATGGCTTCACCAGAAATTTGTTCTCTACCACAACGATGCTCTTTTTTCCTCCCATCAAACAGTGGAAATTTGGGGAGAATTTCAATGGAAAATCATTAGGGATTTGCCTTATAGTTCTGATTTGGTTCCTCTAACTTCTTTTTGTTTCATAATCTTAAAAAAAATCTTTAGAAGGCACCCATTTTTCTTTAGTTAAAAATATCAAAAACACTGCATTGACGTGGTTAAGTTCCCAGGACCCTCATTTCTGTAAGGATGGCCTAAACGATGAGTGTTAATGCTTACAAAAGTGTATTGACCTGAATGGAGTTTATGTTGAGAAATAATGTTTCTGGGGTTTTTTTAATCTCTTAATTTCATTTTTTCTGTAAATGTTTTAAAGTTCTCTTATATGCCCTCCAGCAAGAAGGTGTCATAATCATCTAGTTTTTACTTTTATGGTTGC